CTCCAGTATCACTTCGCATCTTATGGATATAGGAGTTTTGGTTGGGGTCTGCCTCGGTGATCAGGTCGATCATGAGGGAAATGTTGGCTATCGACCGCAATCCCCGCTCGCGCCATGGCATGTGCTACTGCTGCAACACGAAGGGTAGCATTTTCCAGCTCCTGGCCTGCATTTTTGTAAACTTGAAAGCGATTACTGGGTTAGAAATGACAATCCCTATTCTTGCTCAAAATTCTCTCCCCTTGCACAGTATTCCAAATACCTCCCGGCCAGTCAGATATAGCCCCCATCCCAGTAGCCCAGTAATCAAAAACGAGCATACTTCTCGTTCAACTTTCTTGTACCCTAGCATTGTGATACACCCCAGCCCTCTTCACTACCGACCGGGCCTGCCCGCGTTTTTACGTCACTTACGGTGGCAATCAGTCGGATTATTTTCGGCCTTCATTAATGGGTGTTAACGCCTCAGCGAAAGCGTCGTCATTCGTATTGATTCCCGACGTTTATCAGTTGCTTATACACAGCTTATCAGTACGAGTTCGAGAGCCACACGGGTAGCTGCCACTGTGCCGATAAAGGCCTCGATCACGGTTTCCAGGCGGCGTTGCGGACGCCAAAGTGCTTATCAGCTAGCGGGCGCCATCATCGCGGCCTATAGGCGACAGGTCTGTTCGGCAGTAGCCACTAATTCCTCCAAAGGTGTCACAAAATGCGTGTTCGAATCACAAATAAATTATATGGCCATGTTGTAAATCAAAGCTATTTACATGTTTATGGCTAATGATTACGGCAAATTGGGAACGGAAATGCGAACAACGGTCCATAAATCCGATAACTAGGGAGAGATTAAAAAGTACAAAAGTACTCTTATTGATTCCTTTCTTTTTTCTTGGCTCATATACACACCATCACAGCGCTTCAATATTGCTCAGTGGGTGAAGTATTACCATGATCGAATCCTAGTTACCCATGGTACCAAGGTTTGAATGTAGCTGACCAATACCTCTTATTGGTACTATAAGATCTTCACTATCGTCTTTGCCTTTACTCGGATCACCTAAAACCCTCTCGTTCAGGCATCAGATCAGATTGGACCGTAGTTAAACTTGGCCAGTAATTTCCATTCCGCCAGTAGAGACTCGAATTTATTGACAGTTGAACTGAGGATCAGTCTCATCGTCCTCATCTGGTATGTGGTAGTAGATAGCCTGCGTAGAAATGACTTGATATAGCGACTAATGAGGCCCAAATAATATTGTTGCAGAAATCGCTCGATTTTTGATTCAAAGGACTGCATAGCTAGTAATCTCTGAGATGCACCACGTTCGTCCTTTTCGGAGTCCTTCTCGGATCACTACTTTTGTCAGATTCCTTTATTTACGGAGTTGTAAAAAATAACCACCAGTGAGGGGAGGAAATTGTCCTCCCAGTTATCGCTTGCGCTACAGTTCAAAGTAAGTAGGAAGTTGAAACCTGCCTAGTTGAAGCTTGTTCAGGTCCAGGTAAATTATTTTTTGAGAAGTTGCAGACACCTTTTACATGGTTCCATCAGCACTACAAGAGAGGGATAAACAAGAACAGCAAGGGCCTTTTTGGCTTAAACACTCTCAAAAATAGCTGTGGGTAATGAGGTATGAAGCTGTAAACTACAGCGAGACCCCATGAAGGGTTGAGGACCTGATAACCTTCCCATAATGTCTATAACGTTTATGAAATCTGAAGAAATACGCCAAAAATCAAAAGAGATGAACACTGACTGTTTGTCCCAGGTCCAGTGCGATAGGGAGGATTCGTCATTGACGGCTTGGCCGGCTTCATCGATGGCATTTTCCATTGGATTGACTGGAAACAAGTGCCATGAGAGGCTATATCTACGCATTCCATCTTTGATAAATCACACTTGAAGAATATTCCTGACCGCAACATCAATTGAAAAGGGTAATAAATCCGAGTAAACAAGGCCTATCAATGTGCAAATATAGCCAAACTGCGGTCAGGAACGGTCAGAAACAGACGCTAAGGTCAAGAATGGTAACGTACCTGATTATAGTCGGCTGGATAGCCGGAGCCAAGGATCGTATTCGGATAGAAGGCGTTTACTTTGTAGTCCATCGGTCCGGCCATCGACGTCGACGGAAAGGGATCTGATGGATAGGCCTGAACGATCTATTATCGATTAGCTTGTAGGACATGCAGTTTGAATATTTCTAGCTTTACCTCCGTCTGTACAAACGGAAACATCGGATAGACATGGTCGGTGGGCCATCGTGGTTGTTCGGGATACGTGTCCGTGGCGGTTGGAGGAGCAGGCCACCGTGACGGATAAAAACTCTGCGCAGGAAGTGCGTCAAACGTTGTCTGATGCAGCATGCTCTGCTTATCACCACCAGCACTGAAAACGAGAGACACAGTCCTGGTGTTTCCACACGGACAGGCAACCACGAGGCCACGCCCCTTCTCCCGGTAACCGTCCAGCGTCCCCGCGGTTACGGTATCACCGACAAGTGGGCGTGGCTTTGGAGCGAGCCGTGACACTTTTATGAAATTTTATGATGGTTTGTGGTTTCGGGCTCAGTTGTCGGCTATTGTAAAAAGGTGTTATAAGACATGATCAGCGGTTCAACGAGGCCTTTTAAAAGCTTCCTCTCGAGTAACCCACGTGAAATCAGCGGCTGCGGCTGCTGCGACGGCGTTATGGGAACACCAGAATGGCATCATACGCGGAGACCAGATGTTACTGTCGCCTGTCTTCACCATCGATGACATCTGAAAGAGACATTTCATTGGGAGGTCTGGAAATATTTTCTTTACGTTACCAATCGTGCGATGTTGTAATGGAAAATTTAGAAACATCACCTTATTGGTATGGATGTGAGATACCTCTGCATACCCCTTGGAAATTGAAAGGTGACAAATGGAAGGAAGCCGATTTCTGGTTTCCTATTTTATAAGGTGTAGCTCAGCTACGCTTGCTAGCTGTCTCGGGATGGAACCTTTGTCTGTTGAGGGAACTCTGCTGGCTGTTCGTTTTGCTGCCTAGGGATCAAGGAGTTCCAGGCCTTTATTGATGCGAAAATTCACTGATATTGAAGGTTTCCGCTGAAATCGCCTCAGCTGTAATAAGCTGGGGAGAAAGCCAG